GTGTGAGTGTCAACACATAACTATGTTAACTATGTGTGCATATGTATGTATGTGTATGGAGTGAAGAGTATTCATTTGAATTTGTTACCGAAAGTTCAGTTCTCTAGTAAGAAATTCCTCAAAGTCTTTAATTGACAAGCACTTTGCATGCTTTTAAGATATTTTCAAGATAAACAAAAATCACGTTGATTACTTTTATTGTTTAAATTTGTTTAGTATTTCACTTTAATTATCAAGTTAAAATCAAAGAAGTTAGCATTTGAAGTAGAAAAATTAAGTTTATTGCAGGTATACATAATTTGATAACAAAGTTTATAATACTTTGAACATAGAATATCCTGACAATTTCATAATATTTTTTATTTTCATATCAGTAAGTTCAAGATGTTACAAGTTATAAAAAAAATTTCTAAAACTGCTAATATGAAAGGCCTTTGACGAAACGAAAACAATCTAACAAAGGCAAAAAAGCTTGCATGGAATTAATTGAGAATCCAGAAGGATGTACATTAAGGGCCTTTAGGATACTGCAGTTAAAATTAACAAAGAAAAGCAAAAGTAGTTGGAAAATATTCTTCATAAGGTTATGTTATTTTATACAGGCGATTCTACTTATAAGTTCTTTGTAAACAACTCAATAAATGTGAACGACCACGCACCGTTCTCATCTGGCATGATTTCGTGTGATTTTTTTTTCTCCACCAATGATACAAATTACCATTTTTGAAAAATTGATTTCAAGTCATTTGCTCTCAAGTAAAAATTAACTTTAACCGTTGAAAACTATACCTATACTTAAGTTAGGTTAGGTAAAGTGAAGTGAAAAGAGGAACGAATCTTTCTCAATTAGCTTAGAAATCCATTTTGATTCCACGTTCCTTGTAATATTGAGTAGAAGAATGGTCATGTTAAAACGATCCAGATACATTGATAAAAATAGTTATATGGTCAATTCAAATACTGTAAATATCGCTGAGTGTGTTAAAAAATGGGTAGCCCAAAAGTTTAAACCTGCTTCTAAACAAGCCTGAACATAGACACAACATGTGTTCAGGTGTGTTTTCTTCGAGCGACGGAAGATAAGTACTACAGGTGACACTAGGGGGCAAACTGAATGTACCATTAGAATAGATATTAAGATAAATACTTCCAATTTGCTTATGTGTACAAAATCAGTGGTTCAACAATTATAGTAAAGGATCCATATAACTCTTGGCCTGGCTTCTAAAGGAAATAAAAGCTTACTTTCTACAAACCTGTCGCAAAAAATGATCATAATTCAATTTTCGCCTGTGGCTGACAGAAGCAGGTATTGAAACAGGAGTTTTCATAGAAGAGACGCCCAATCAAGCTAACTCACCTAAGCGCTGGTTCACCGCTATACTCAAATGCCCGGAAACTCAAACCAGATTTACCTTGAACCTGTTACTTAGTACTTTAATACATCGTCTACATTCTTATTGTTACTTAGTACTTTAATACATCGTCTACATTCTTATTGTTATTATTAGAATTATTCTAGACAAAATGCATACTGCTGAAATATTTAATATCTACCTGACTATTAGTGAGAGCACAGACTTCCTTTTCTAGAATCTCCATGTTCGCAGTAAAAGTTACTACTATAATAGTCTACGAAATATGTTTGGAAGTTTGGATGGGGATGTGGATTGGTGAAGGCAAAATAAATGTTGCTGGATTAATGAATTTTTTGTATTTTATATAAAGACTTAATATACCTTTTACATAGAATATATTAACTTTTAAATTAAAATGAAAAGTTTTAGTATTATTTAAATAAAAATAATCATGTAAACAAATATATTGATAAAAATATATATACATTTTAAATTTGATTCATGGTAGATCTTTACTTTATGTTAAGATGCTGGATATGCATTATTTAACTTTAAATAAAGAAAACTATCTTTATATGACGCATTAAAAAGGATAACTTTAGTTGAAATTTCTTTACTTTTTACTGCATGATTGAGTGCAACAACTTTCCTTTAGTCTGCATAAGTGCGGTTGGTGTAAAAATGTAATCATTATTGTTCTTCTTAAGGATATCAAAGCTAAAACTGTCATCCATCACGAATCACGACATTTTTCACACCTTTTAAAATTGTGTCCGCATATCTATCAAACTTAATGTATGTGTACATGTCTGTCTGTCACTCTGTCTGACTGTTTATGTATGTTGCAGCACTTTAACACTGCTTTTGCCACTTCAACACTTCTCTTGTTTAGAGTGTGATTGTATATAGTAGATACTTTTTTCTTTATACTCAATGCAAGTTAAACTTTGTTTCACTTTTTTCTCATAGAATTGCTCTTATTTCTATATATTTTCCAACTTAACACAAACACGTCCATTCATTGGTGCACATTCTGGTTTGTTGTGTGTTATTCAGAAATAATTTTTAAAATATCTTTTCACCTTTTTTTATACTCTAGTATGCTTCTTCTTCCTTCTTTTCTTGAAAAATGCACATTATTTTGTGTAAGTTTATCGTATAAAGTCATACCAAGTCGCATACAATTTTTATAATTTCCCTTAAAATGTTTATGTGCGAATAAGATATTTTGTTACTGTTTATGATGACAGATAAGTCACACAATTGCATGCTGCAATGTGCGTATGTTTCCTTTAATATTATATACATTTGTGTGTACATATGATTTTATTATATTGTATTATATAAGCCACAAGTTTACTTAAACGATAACAAAATGTGCTTACGCTAAAGTAACAAAAGTTGCATTTTGTGTCTCGGAACATTAACTTTAAATTGTATTTTTTTCTGGCTGATATAAGAGTACTTCTTCTCTTTGTTGCATAAATATTGCTGTAAAAAAAAGTTGATTTTATGCAATTTTCATTATTATTAATATTAAAGTTCAATCCAAAAATTATGCTCCATTGTAATATACAAAAGTTGAGTTAAACAAATTTTTCTCATTAAAAACAAAAAAAAAATTATTTCCATATTTTTGTAGTTGAAGTTGTTCTTCCTCCGCCTTACCTAAGCCGCCCTTTTAAGCTACCTTAATGTCTATTAACTTAATATCAACATAACAAATGGTAGGTATTTTTTTAATTAAATGGCCATAACGACCCGTTACCGATTTTCGGGCTAAAACAGCATACCACTCCAGGCGCCTCTACTGCGTATGCGCTTTCTTTAGTCTCGTAAATCAAGTGCAGTTAATGCTCAACCGCAGTTAGAATGATCCTCAACTTGATCACTTCATCAGAGACACAGTCTATCTTTAAGCACAGTCTATCTTTCTCCAACTGACGCTTCAAATACTTTCTTGATTAGAGCAACTCTAATCACATGACTAACACAGCGCAGCCACTGGATATTAATTTGCTGCGTTATATCAACGTCTATAAAGCTTATGGTTCCAATCGAATATGATAGTCGTCCCCAACTCGTAGAAAATCAACGATCTTACGAATAAATTTTCTCTCAAAAACTACTTCAACTTTCTGTGAGTGCACTATGGATACATTTGTGTGTGCAGACGGTAGTTACATACGTAAAACAATGCAACTTAAAATACAAATGTTGCAATAATAATACAGAAATAATTCTGCAATATTACGTTAAAAACTATGAGTTTAAATGTCCCAAGAATGGTAGTTAAGAACTAATAGTACATTGCATTTAGTTCTTGCACTACTGAGAGAATAAGAAAAAATGCTGCTCATCTGCTTTGTCACAGTCCATCGCATGTGCAACGGAGTTAAACATGCTAGGGACTAATTTTTTGAAGAATGTTAGTTATCTGTAAAACCTTGCCTTATATACGTTGCCAATAAACCTAATTGGATTGCTGTTATTATTTAACCTATGACTGGTATAGTTTCTTCTTTGTTGACAATAATTAGACATTCATTTCTTTCTGAAATTCTTAATATTATATTCCAAAATTATAAGTTATCAACTCAAAATCACTTTACAAAATAATAATAGTTTTTATATCCAACGCAGACAAGTATTTTTATAACATAGATATATATTTGTTAAATAAAATTATCTAAGCACTTAATTTTCCCTAATAGCCCATTATTAGATTTTACGGCATTGCTGAGTACATATCTTATTAATCTTATTAATCTAGCTTACTTAGTACTTCGTCCACTTTAGCTCTCCTCCGGTGCAACAACCTTCACTTCCTCCAAATACCGCTTCAAATATCTCTTTCGCTAATTCGAAGAGACACTATGGTATAGGGAAACGTCGTTCTGCAGAGGCGTGTTTCGCAAAGATACCGAATATTCCGGCGTAAACGCAATCCCTTAAGAAGTTATCGAATAATGCTTTATAAACAATAAAAATATGATGGATATGAATATCTGATCAATAGTGAAGCGACGAGTTTGCCATACTGATCTAATCAGTGATCCAAAAATTGAATTGGCATACGATGTCAATCTTTTACACAGATGACATTTAATGTTCTTACAGACGACGGTAGATTGGCTGATCCCGCAGTAGTGGACGCGAAAAACTGCGTCGCCTGTATATATTGTTTATAAAGGTTATTAAAATATTCGTACTTAGCTATATATAACAATTTAACCATATCTTAATGAAAAAAAAGACTTCTAAAATTATGTTTATATTTAAGTATGAGGACGCGATAAATAATGTATAAAAAATAATATTAACATTGAAATGCATTTATCATTTGTACACATATTAGAATAATATTATATACATATTACTATTACGCTAATGATTAATAAATCCATTAGGTAAATTAAATCTTTTATGTGTGTTTGGATTTTTTAAAGGTGATCTTTGCACATTTGGGTGAAAATGAAAACCATTATCATTTATTTGAGGATTTAGTATCTAAATTGGTATTCGACTTTATTGCTCTTAGTTAGGAATTCATATTAGTAGAATTTATTTTTCTTTGCATTAATATTTGATTTCAACCCATTCTGTCCGGTTGGGAATGTTATATTCTAATTTGTTGCTGCGTCAGTATTGGCATGATTGTAACGGCGGTAATTGCTGCGGACAATCGCCCATTTCTCCCTGCCTTATTTGCACATGATTTTCACGCAATCCTAAATTTTGATGTTCATCATCTTCATCTGCTCTTACAATGGGAACAAAACTACTACAACCACCGTGGCTTCGATCTCCAGAAGAGCAAATTACATTACTTTCTTCTGGACTAAGAACATCTGATGGTAGAGGTCTTGTAAGCCCCTGTCTTATTTGTGTCAATGAATTAATTTGGACTCTATGTGAATGCGATATGGGCTGCTGGAGTTCTGTATTTCTTGGACATAGTTGAGGTTGTTGAGAAATTGGCGAAATCCGCCTGATTGAACTCGACTGTTCTAATTGTCTTATTTCACTTGATTCAGGAAGCCCTAGTCGAGGTGCAGGCAGTCTCTGTCTTATTCTCAGTTGAGTTGCTTGCAATTGTCCTGTTTGCATCATAGAATGAACTTGTTCTCCTTGCGATAGCGGTATGGGTTGCTGGAGTTCTGTATTTCTTTGACATTGTTGAGGTTGTTGAGAAATTTGCGAAATCCGCCTGATTGAACTCGACTGTTCTACTTGTCTTATTTGACTTGATTCAGGAAGCCCTAGTTGAGGTGCAGGCAATTCCCGTCTTATTCTCACTTTAGTTGCTTGAAATTGTCTTGTTTGTGTGAGTGAATTAATGTGGTGTCTATGTGATAGCGGTATGGGTTGCTGGAGTACTGTATTTCTTTGACATTGTTGAGGTTGTTGAGAAATTGGCGAAATCCGCCTGATTGAACTCGACTGTTCTAATTGTCTTACTTCACTAGATTCAGGAAGCCCTAGTCGAGGTGCAGGCAGTCTCCGTCTTATTCTCACTTTAATTGCTTGTAATTGTCTTGCTTGTGTCAATGAATTAATGTGGACTCTATGTGATTGCGATATGGGCTGCTGGAATTCTGTATTTCTTTGACATTGTTGAGGTTGTTGAGAAATTGGCGAAATCCGCCTGATTGAACTCGAATGTTCTAATTGTCTTATTTCCCTTGATTGAGCCAGCCCCAGTCGAGGTGCAGGCAGTCTCCGTCTTATTCTCAGTTGAGTTGCTTGCAATTGTCTTGTTTGCATCATAGAATGAACTTGTTCTCCTTGTGATAGCGGTATGGGCTGCTGAGGTACTTTATTTCTTTGACATTGTTGAGGTTGTTGAGAAATTGGCGAAATCCGCCTGATTGAACTCGACTGTTCTAATTGTCTTATTTGACTTGATTCAGGAAGCCCTAATTGAGGTGCAGGCAATTCCCGTCTTATTCTCACTTTAGTTGCTTGAAATTGTCTTGTTTGTGTGAGTGAATTAATGTGGTGTCTATGTGATAGCGGTATGGGTTGCTGGAGTTCTGTATTTCTTTGACATTGTTGAGGTTGTTGAGAAATTGGCGAAATCCGCCTGATTGAACTCGAATGTTCTAATTGTCTTATTTCACTTGATTGAGCCAGCCCTAGTCGAGGTGCAGGCAATCTGCGTCTTATTCTTAGTTGAGTTACTTTTAATTGTCTTCTTTGCATCATAGAATGAACCTGTTCTCCATGTGGTTGTGGTGATAACGGCTGCTGGAGTTCTGTATTTCTTTGACATTGTTGAGGTTGTTGAGAAATTGGCGAAATCCGCCTGATTGAACTCGACTGTTCTAATTGTCTTATATCCCTTGATTCAGGAAGCCCTAGTCGAGGTGCAGGCAGTCTCCGTCTTATTCTCACTTTAATTGCTTGTAATTGTCTTGCTTGTGTCAATGAATTAATGTGGACTCTATGTGATTGCGATATGGGCTGCTGGAATTCTGTATTTCTTTGACATTGTTGAGGTTGTTGAGAAATTGGCGAAATCCGCCTGATTGAACTCGACTGTTCTACTTGTCTTATTACCCTTGATTCAGGAAGCCCTAGTTGAGGTGCAGGTAATCCCCGTCTTATTCTCAGTTGAGTTGCTTGTAATTGTCCTGCTTGTGTCAATGAATTAATTTGGACTCTTTGTGATAGTGGTGATAACGGCTGCTGGGGTACTGTATTTCTTTGACATTGTTGAGGTTGTTGAGAAATTGGCGAAATCCGCCTGATTGAACTCGAATGTTCTGATTGTCTTATTTCCCTTGATTGAGCCAGCCCCAGTCGAGGTGCAGGCAGTCTCCGTCTTATTCTCAGTTGAGTTGCTTGTAATTGTCGTGTTTGCATCATAGAATGAACCTGTTCTCGTTGTGATTGTGGTGATAACGGCTGCTGGAATTCTGTATTTCTTTGACATTGTTGAGGTTGTTGAGAAATTGGCGAAATTCGCCTGATTGAACTCGACTGTTCTAATTGTCTTATTTCACTTGATTGAGCCAGCCCTAGTCGAGGTGCAGGCAGTCTCCGTCTTATTCTCACTTTAATTGCTTGTAATTGTCTTGCTTGTGTCAATGAATTAATGTGGACTCTATGTGATTGCGATATGGGCTGCCGGAATTCTGTATTTCTTTGACATTGTTGAGGTTGTTGAGAAATTGGCGAAATCCGCCTGATTGAATTCGACTGTTCTACTTGTCTTATTACCCTTGATTCAGGAAGCCCTAGTCGAGGTGCAGGCAGTCTCGGTCTTATTCGCAGTTGAGTTGCTTGTAATTGTCTTGTTTGCATCATAGAATGAACCTGTTCTCCTTGTGATTGTGGTGATAACGGCTGCTGGAGTTCTGTATTTCTTTGACATTGTTGAGGTTGTTGAGAAATTGGCGAAATCCGCCTGATTGAACTTGACTGTTCAACTTGTCTTATTACCCTTGATTGAGCAAGCCCTAGTCGAGGTGCAGGTAGCAGTCTCTGTCTTATTCTTAATTGAGTTGGTTCTGCAGGCAGTCCCTGTCTTATTCTTAGCTGAGTTGCTTGTAATTGTCTTGTTTGTGCGAATGAATTAACATGGACTCTATGTGACAGCGGTATGGGCTGTTGAAGTACAGCATCCCTTTGACATTGTTGGGATTGTTGAGAAACTGGCGAAATCCGCCTGATTGAACTCGACTGTTCTAATTGTCTTATTTCCCTTGATTCAGGAAGCCCAAGTCGAGCTGCATGCAGTCTCCGTCTTATTCTCACTTGAGTTGCTTGCAATTGTCGTGTTTGCATCACAGAATGAACTTGTTCTCCTTGTGATAGCGGTATGGGTTGCTGGAGTTCTGTATTTCTTTGACATTGTTGAGATTGTTGAGAAATTGGCGAAATCCGCCGGATTAAACTCGACTGTTCAACTTGTCTTATTACCCTTGATTGAGCAAGCCCTAGTCGGGGTGCAGGCAGTTCCCGTCTTATTCTGACTTTAGTTGCTTGAAATTGTCTTGTTTGTGTGAGTGAATTAATGTGGACTCTATGTGATAGCGGTATGGGTTGCTGGAGTTCTGCATTTCTTTGACATAGTTGAGGTTGTTGAGAAATTGGCGATATCCGCCTGATTGAACTCGACTGTTCTAATTGTCTTATTTCACTTGATTCAGGAAGCCCTAGTCGAGGTGCAGGCAGTCTCTGTCTTATTCTCACTTGAGTTGCTTGTAATTGTCGTGTTTGCATCATAGAATGAACCTGTTCTCCTTGTGATTGTGGTGATAACGGCTGCTGGAATTCTGTATTTCTTTGACATTGTTGAGGTTGTTGAGAAATTGGCGATATCCGCCTGATTGAACTCGAATGTTCTAATTGTCTTATTACCCTTGATTGAGCAAGCCCTAGTCGGGGTGCAGGCAGTTCCCGTCTTATTCTGACTTTACTTGCTTGAAATTGTCTTGTTTGTGTGAGTGAATTAATGTGGACTCTATGTGATAGCGGTATGGGTTGCTGGAGTTCTGCATTTCTTTGACATAGTTGAGGTTGTTGAGAAATTGGCGAAATCCGCCTGATTGAACTCGACTGTTCTAATTGTCTTATTTCACTTGATTCAGGAAGCCCTAGTCGAGGTGCAGGCAGTCTCCGTCTTATTCTCACTTGAGTTGCTTGTAATTGTCGTGTTTGCATCATAGAATGAACCTGTTCTCCTTGTGATTGTGGTGATAACGGCTGCTGGAATTCTGTATTTCTTTGACATTGTTGAGGTTGTTGAGAAATTGGCGAAATCCGCCTGATTGAACTCGACTGTTCTAGTTGTCTTATTTCACTTGATTCAGGAAGCCCTAGTCGAGGTGCAGGCAGTCTCCGTCTTATTCTCAGTTGAGTTGCTTGTAATTGTCGTGTTTGCATCATAGAATGAACCTGTTCTCCTTGTGATTGTGGTGATAACGGCTGCTGGAATTCTGTATTTCTTTGACATTGTTGAGGTTGTTGAGAAATTGGCGATATCCGCCTGATTGAACTCGAATGTTCTAATTGTCTTATTACCCTTGATTGAGCAAGCCCTAGTCGGGGTGCAGGCAGTTCCCGTCTTATTCTCAGTTGAGTTGCTTGTAATTGTCTTGTTTGCATCATAGAATGAACCTGTTCTCCTTGTGATTGTGGTGATAACGGCTGCTGGAATTCTGTATTTCTTTGACATTGTTGAGATTGTTGAGAAATTGCCAACATCCGTCTATCTGGAGTCGACTGTTCTAATCGTCTAACTCTCAATCGAATTGATTGCAATTGACTTGTTTGTGATTCCGGGGTAGGTTGCTGTTGGATCTGCTGAATTTCTACATTTCTTCGACATTCTCGACTTCGTCGACCCATGAACGGCTGTTCATATCCTTCTGATATGCGTTGTGGAAGACACAGCCGACGTGTAGGCCGTTGACATACTCGTGGAGGTGATTGTTGAATTACTGCTGAATTACGACATTCTCGACGTTGTACAAATTCCCTTAATTTACGTAGTGCAAAACCTCGATCTACAGGCTGGCTTGAGGCTTGAGTTACTTGCAATGAGTTAGTTTGACATCTTTGACGTGGTGGATATGATAGGTATGAACTTCGTGGTCTATTCACTAAAACTCGTGTTTGTGCGCAAGAGGTTTCAGTACCATAAAGTTCCTGAGAATTTATATAATTTGTTGCAAAGCCGATTATTAATAACGTAATTAACTTTATTGGCAACATTATCATTTGATTTTTTTTTTATTTATTTTTGAATATTCAAAAATTTTTATATAATCTTCATTTAGCTTTTTGGTTCCATATAATAATTTTCTCTAAGAACAAGTAGAAGTAAAGTATAACCAACTAAAACTGTCTACGCACTAACCATATTTTTATAGGGTCGTTGAGTGCCTTTCTTATATCGATTCAAACATTGTATCAATATTGGAACCGATGTATTTATAGAGTAGTTACAGTTCATTTTATTTTAATATTTTAGTAATGGTAAATTTATTTTGTAATATATATGAAAATATATAACAATTAAATTTCTATACTCTTTTTATGCTTTCCAGAAATAATAGGTATAATTTTTACAGTCATACTATTTAGGTAGAACTAATTAATTTTGCCCTTTTTTTTAGAATTTAGTTTTTTTTTAAATAAATTGATAAAGCCTTTTTAAATATTTTCTAATTTTTAAAAGAACTTACCACGAGACCAATTGAGCATCGCTGATTTCTTTTGATTACAAAACGGTAGTCAGAAAATCTTATTAAACATTAATGAACTAAGACCACAATTTTTTAATATGCAATTGTTTCTTTGGTACCAATACAGAACTATTCAATTGCTTTTAAATATTATATAATTGACAACTAGCAATACAAGCCAGGTCCTGATAATAAAATTCTAATGCTTTAGATTTGAAAAGTATTATCGAAATTAATGAATAAAATTTTATAACTGATTTTATAACTGATATCCGAACACCGCTCTATCGAAAGAAATGATAGAGATGTGGTTTGCTGAAAGCTTATATTGAACGCACTCGTCCCAAAGAGATGATGACATCAAAAAACATCAAACATATTCACAATACCTCTTTCGTAAGCCATAAAATCAAGTTTCAGAAGACAGCTGACACCTAAAGAATACCAAAAGAAATTTTTGGATTTATTTTGCGTGAACATTGGTCAATTCGTCAAGCTATTTTCGAAGTTAGTACCACCTTTGCTGACAGTTGATCGAAAACAACATTGTACCGATAATTCTGAGAGCTATTTGAAGCAGTTGAAGCGTGAGATAATAATAACTTTTTGCATTCGTATGCAATAATAGACAAAACTGCGATACATCACTTTAGTCCAGGATCGAATCGGCAGTCAGTTAAGTGGACAGCAGCGGCCTACCTCACTCAAAGCGGAGAGTTCATTGACTTCCTAAAGAAAGGTTAAACTGCAATAGCGATTGTTAGATGGCCAAACTGTTGCGGTTGAAGAGGAAAATCACGGAGCAGTCATTGCCGAAACTGTGACATATTTTAAAGACAATGATGTGTCATTCTACGAAAGCATTATCGAAATCTAAGAACTGCGCTGAAATTATTAAATTATTCTTCAAAGAAACTGCTTTGATAAATGAAGTTGAGTTTCCACAAAAAATTGTTGTCTTATTGGTTATCCTAATACAACTATCTATGACGTTTAAATAACATAACTAGACTATATTTTTTATTGTAAATGCTTACTCACTCCGAGAGTTCAAATTACACTTACACACCGTTTTCTTGTTACATTATCACTACCAAGAGTTGAATGTTTGTGTTGGCAACGCGATTGGTAGTGCAAATGAAACTAAACCAGGCTTTATAAAATGCATAAGATTTTAAAAATATAATTAATTATATTTAGTGAAAAAAATAATTAAAATTAAGTTATAAAGTTGTTATATTATTTATATTTTCTTGCCGAAAGCAACGCGTCTTACGACGAAAATAAATTTTTTTTAGAAATCAGAAGGGTTCGAATAGAAATGGAAAGATAACAACAAAAATTTTAATTATTTATTGAAATTTGGCTGACCATACAACGCTGTTTCGAGTATTGCCAAGTACTCATCAAAAATGGTCTTAGGAAATATTTGAGTATTTTTAATTAGTTTATAGTCCGTGTATAATTTGTTTGGGCTGTAAATAAATATATTTTTATAGTTTATAAAGTTATTCTATTTAAAATGTTTTGTTTAGTGTTGCCAACATTTGAAAATAATAATTGTATATTATATTTCAATTAATTTTTTGCTTATATGCGGTACAGTGAAGATGATCTACGAAGTCGACCGAAATATCTGTATGTTAAAAAATATAATAATATATAATTAAATTATTTAACACAAATAATTAAGTTCCCTGAACATGACTATCGAAGATAATCGAAATATCGAAATTGTACTTCAGTAAAATTTGTATAAATATAACTTACAAATAATAGTTTTTATTTAAATGATCAATTAGCCCGCTCAGAAATAATTGCAAATTAATAATTGTAATTTTTTATCATTTTTATTTGTTAAATAAACTACTTCAGTCCGGTGATGAAAATCAAAAACGAATTGAATATTATATAATCTAATACATGAGACTACACATGGAATATCCTTCATGTTGATAATAATTTCTGCAATAAATTTAAAAAAAATCTTTAATTTAATAAGCAACACAACATGTTACCTTTATATGCTTTAATTAGTTGTGCCGTAGTAGTGAGTAATATGGCAAGCAACAAAAAAAAAAAAAATTAGGAAATAAATAAAAATGCTCCAGACGAACGCATTCCTGTGTGCATGGTTTTGCATTTATGTTAGCACAGGAAAAAATCCTTTTAAACCTTACATCCACACAAGTCATTTTTCTTTTTCAACTCAACTCGGTTCAAAAGTATGCAAAGCATAATTCACACTGCTTGAATTGTAGCAAAATCATGCGACACGTGAATACCCTCAAACGCGTCATGCATGAGAATTACACCAATCCCCACCAGTTCCACTGGGTGTCTTTCCCTGTAATACATTCTTTCCTCGGCACTTCTCTAAGCCGCATACAAAATTTTTTGGTGCACCACAAATGCATATCAAAGCATTTCCACATCCTCACTATAGTACCCAGTTAGTTAAAAGACCGACCATCATAGAACTCACAAATTTACCATATACTATATATATATATACATTTTTTTTCCTTTTTGAAACTTTTTAAATTTATTTATTTTATTTCTTATTTAAATATGTGCATACATCCAAGTTGGACTTTTCATTTCGCATGTGTTTAAACATCAACGAAGCACCGAAACTGTTATGTATGGAGAAAAATCTTAATTTTCCAAAAACGGAAATGGGTACTATGCGCGCCTTCAGGACATGCACCGGAAAACTGACTTGAACTTTAGCTAACAATTCACATGTTTAACAAAATGTTCAGCATTTCAACGCTAGATTTATATACATTTTTGTGCATTTATAAATATATCCATATATCTGTGCACTACAAAGTACCATATACTCCACTCCACTAAAAATTTTATGCACACAACATATGAAAGCAATCTTTTGCATAAAATTTATTTGGTGCATTAAAAATGTATGCTCGCTGTTGCTTACACATATTTCCACTGTTAACTAACATAAACGCATAAATTAGCTTGAAGGTGTTGTTTGTGCATATTTCCATTTGGTGAAAGCATAAATATCAGCAACAGTCAAGCAAATATAAATAGTTTGTCTACTTTAAGATAAATAAATTTTCAGGTTATTTAGTGATTTTTATTTAATATATAATTTAAGGTGGATTTGTACATAATGGGTAATGAAACATATAAATAATCTCTCCTACTGAAATGTTAAGTTCCCAATTTTTTTTCTCTATTGCTATACCTATAGCATAGACCCAACAGTGATAGAACGTTCAACAAAATATTCTTATTCAACACTTGCCTCACAAAGAAAATGTCTGAAATCAAATATCATTACTTAAAGGTTGTGACTTAATAAAGGGATACTACTGGGAAAGCATCAAGGTGGACCAAACCGCATTCACATTCTCTTCAATTTTTCTATGTCCTGGAACCCAGATAAAAGTGCTACTTACTCGACAATTGCCTCTCTACATTCTTTAACTATCGTTGATTTCGTGATAAAGAATTAAAGTGCGTTAGGAAACCAGTCGAGGAACCCAGATAAAAGTGCTACTTACTCGACAATTGCCTCTCTACATTCTTTAACTATCGTTGATTTCGTGATCAAGAATTAAAGTGCGTTAGGAAACCAGTCGTGGAACCCAGATAAAAGTGCTACTTACTCGACAATTGCCTCTCTACATTCTTTAACTATCGTTGATTTCGTGATCAAGAATTAAAGTGCGTTAATTGCCGTCAGACTGTCAACAAAAATAGCAACACTACATCTGTCCTTGATATGACGTGCAATTAGGCGACATGCCTTCATGGCCTAACTAAGTAGCCAAAGGGAGTACATCTGTCCTTGATATGATTAGCCGACATGCCTTCATGGCCTAACTAAGTAGCCAAAGGGAGTGAAATATCTCAGCAAATGGTCGGAAAAATTCCTGTTCCTACTCCGCAATCTATTTTCAAGTGATCCGTAAAAATTGAAACATCGTAATTTGCTTGGAAGTTTCTTCTTCTCCCTTCGTCTCTTGACGAGAATAGATAATGATATGCAGACAATTTGAAACTGTATCTAGAATCCGGCTATGTTCAGATGTACATTTTGCCCAAACACTTGTAGCTTTCATTCTGCTGTAAACTATATTTTTAATATAAAGATCAATAAAGTGTTTTTTTCAGGCAAATTGGACAAAACTTTTTTATTGATGTTAAATATTAAAAAAAAAATTCAGAAAAAGAAATCAAAATTTAATTTTGCATTAATTTTTATTTAATCGTTATTTCGACTTTAGTCTAATGTCATCGTCAGAAAACTGCTTACATTGACGATCAATGGTAGCAAATGTGGCATATCGTTCAGGGCGTCTGGAGTGACATATTTAGTCCCCTAAATTCTGTTTAATTTTAGAATGTTATACCTCATCCACAGCTTGTGGCCCAAATACTTATCTCAACCTAAGCCCCCAAGTCCTTATATTTTGACACATTTCCATATATATTTATGGCGAAGTACTTGCGGTAAAGTTTCATGTAGTCGTTATGCCGTATATATATTAA